GAGGGGGTGGGTGTGGCACCCCCGGGTGTCCCCGCGGGGCTGAGCCCGCTGTCCCCGCAGCATTCGCAGCGTCAGGCGCCGCCGCTGCCCCCCGCCTTGTCGGCCTCGGACCCCGCGACGGCAACTTTCTGACCCTCCCCCAGCAGCAGGTAGGGACCCCCCGTGGGCACCTGGGGACCCCCCCTTGGATACCTGGGGACCCCCCCCTTGCATACCTGGGGACCCCTTCTTGGCACCTGGGGACCCCCCTTGGCACCTGGGGACCCTCCTTGGATACCTGGGGAGCCCCCTGCACACCTGGGGACCCCTTCTTGGCACCTGGGGACCTCTCCTTGGATACCTGGGGACCCTCCTTGGATACCTGGGGACCCCCCCTTGGATACCTGGGGACCCCCCTTGGCACCTAGGGCCCCTCCTTGGATACCTGGGGACCCCCCCTTGGATACCTGGGGACCCCCCCTTGGCACCTGGGGAGCCCCCTGCACACCTGGGGACCCCCCCTCGAAACCTGGGGACCCCTCATGGGCACCTGGGTGTCCCCTCTTGGCACCTGGGGACCCCCCTTGGCACCTGGGGAGCCCCCTGCACACCTGGGGACCCCCCCTCGAAACCTGGGGACCCCCCCATGATAGCTGGGGATCCCCCTTGGGCACCTTGAGCCTCCCCTGCACACCTGGGGACCCTCCTTGGTTACCTGGGGACCCCCCTTGATACCTGGGGACCCCCCTTGGCACCTGGGGACCCCCCTGCACATCTGGGTGTCCCCTCTTGGGTACCTGGGGACCCCCCCTTGATACCTGGGGGCCCCCCATGGGCACCTGGGTGTCCCCTCTTAGCACCTGGGGACACCCTTGCACACCTGGGGACCCCTCCGTACACCTGGGGACCCCCCATGGGCACCTGGGTGTCCCCTCTTAGTACCTGGGGACACCCTTGCACACCTGGGGACACCCTTGCACACCTGGGGACCCCCCATGGGCACCTGAGACACCCCACCCCCACCCACCTGAGCCCCCTCCCGGAATTTTGGGTCACCTTTGACCCCTCCCCTCCCCCCCACCCCCCGGATGTCCCTCCGTGTCCCCCTGGCCACTCCCCCGCTGTGACGTCACCGCGGGGGACAAAGGAGGGGGCGTGGCCAAGCCGCCCCCAGCGAGGCCGCCATTGGCCCCCCCCGGCCGCGTGGCACGAAGCCCGATTGGCTGCTTGCCCCGCGGTTCCGGCCGCTGATTGGCTGGCGCCAGCGCGGGACCGCGGCGGGGCCCGGAGCCAATAGGACACGGGGGGGAGAGGGCTGGCAGCCAATGGGGGCTCTCGGCGGGCCAAACAGCGCGCGGCCTGATTGGCTGGCACCGCCAGGCGGGAGGGGGCGGAGCCAGCGCTGATTGGCTGGCACCGGCAGGGCCTTGGCAGGCTGCGGGCGCTGCGGCGGCACGGCGCCGTCCCATTGGCTGAGCGCGGTGGTGCGGCGGCGCA